AAAAACTTTGATTACCAGTCAATTATATTTCGATGGCTGACGATATTTGTTTTGACCGCAAAATACTTGCTTCAGTCTCAGAAAAAATGTTTTTGAAGCTCTTTATTTGTAAATCTTTAAAAATAGTTCAAGTATTTGAGATTAAAAGATAAAGATGAAATTAAGATATAACAATGAATATTACATCTAATTATTGTTCGTTAAATTAATAAACAAATAAATCATAAAAGCGTGTAGTAGATWTTGATAACGCAAAAAAATTTATATGAATTATATACCACGTGAGTGAGCTTATGTATTAAAAWAAATGAGTAACAATAGATTAACGATAATATCGTATTTRAAGTGTACACGTATAGTTTAAGAAGAAATAAAATAAATTTACTATTATGATTTGAATCACCGAATGTCAAAGAGACAATTTTACCATTAATAAACATTCAGTAAATATTTCATCAACGTAAATAAAACAATATTAGAAGAACTAACTCAATACAAATATAATGATATTTTTGTATATATAATATATATGTATACATACAACTACAATATATATATATTTATATAATAATAAGTACGGCTTCCATAAGTACATAAATTAACATASGTCACGGGATGTTGATATTCTTAATTTTCTTCTTTGGTTCGAAAAATGATATGACTTCGTCTAGAGTTTTCCCCTTAGTTTCGGGCATAATAAATACAGCAAATAACACGTTTAACATACAGAAGAAAGCGAATATCGACCAAACTATTTCTATTCCTAAATTTAAAACCAGTGATGGATATATTTTGCAAATCATAAACCAAATAATATATCCGAATGTCTGCACAACTCCATTCATAACACCTGAAATAAATACGAATATAATGTATCTTAGACTGCTATAAATAAGTGAAATTAATTTTAGACATAGTAGGTTATGCAATCATATAATATATCATGTTACATTTATATCATACATAATATAATTAAATAACAATAATTTAAGTTTGTATGAGCCATATTATTACCTTTACTAAGTACTAAGTAGGTATTAAAAGAATTTATGTAATTAATTGAAATTCAAAGCACATAAAATAGACAATTGCATTAAAGTATTCTGAATTAGATACATTTTATGTCATCATATATTATGTATAGGTTATAATGATTAAGCTGTGCACCAAATGGAAGGAGTTGGCGATCAAGGTAGTGACGAACGTGGGGAAGGAGGAACTTGAAAAAGCTATACGGAAAGATTTCCTAATACAACCAAAAAACATCCTTC